AACCCTAAACCCTAAACACTAAACCCTAAACCCTAAACCCTAAACTAAACCCTAAACTCTGAACCGCAACTCCAGGAAGCCTAAACCTCGAGGTTCCCTACCTAAGCCCCGACTCTGCCGTCTTGGTTTCAGAACGCCGGAGGCTTGCCCCTGGAGCGCGGTGAAGCCATTCTGGGATGGCGCTTCTCGAGCCTTTGCGAGAAGCTGGGCAGCGCGTGGTGGCGCGCAGAACTACAGCATCGTCCTTGGCCACGAGACTGTCGGAAGGATCTTCGATACTTGGTAGACCAGTGGTACCCTTTTACATGGTTTTTTTTGTTAAGGGCTCCAGTATAAGTACCCTAAACCCTAAACCCTAAACCCTAAACCCTAAACCCTAAACCCTAAACCCTAAAAAGGGCGCCCTTCTCCAAAAAGATGGTGGCACTGGGCTACCAAGGATACCATTCTGTACAAGGCTGAGTTGAAAGCCCTGGCCGAGTCGGCTCAGGAAGGGCTGCGGGTGGACGTGCTCTTTACAAAAGCCATGGGCCTCTAGGTAGGCCCTTAAGGGACATCTTGTAGATTTTTATACTTTCCCTTGTTGATCTTAATTTTGTTGGGTTTAAGAGTTTAAGAGTAATTTAAGAGGACCATATTCAGGAATATTTCTCAGAGGGTTTTAGGGGCCATCCTAGGACTGGATGACCAAGCCGTGGTAAGCAGCGTTTTGTACCGTCGCACTCGGCTGCTTTCCCCCATGAGAGAAGAGGAGTTTGATGCCACGACCTGGCAATACGGAGGCTGCCCAAAGGAGGAACTGGCGTCCTGCGTCCCGGAGCATCTGCTCGATCCCAACAGTACCCAGCTCCAGCGCCTGATAGACAAAGCAAAAGAGGCAGAAGCCCACTATGGCGGTGATGCATGGCGAGCTGAACGCCCAAAAGCAAGTTGCCGGCCTCAAGTTTCTGCACGCTTTTCTTCGTTGGTCTCAGTTCGAAGCAAGCCGTGGGACGCCTTATACTTGGGTTTTGAGTGGGTTTTAGGGTTTAGGGTTTAGGGGGTTTTGTTCACACCTTCTTATCTGTCGAGGTGCCGCCGCCGGCCGGTGTCAACAGCAGCTGGATGCACTGACGGCCTTGATAGCTGAGAGGTGCCAGGAGGATCCTTGGCTTTTCCTAAGCCCGAAAGCCTACCTTAAACTCCTTGTTCCCCAACACAAGAGGCTACCCTACCCAAAAAATGGGAAACTGTAGCCCACAGTGATAGTCTACTGGCTTTCAAGGTAAGACCTAAACCAGCCGGTGGTAGCAGAAAGGCCCTTGCAGTCTTTGATGACTACTATTTGCTTAAGAACCCCAAAAGAATAGAAAATAATAATAATCCCTATATGACCCTCAATAAGGAGTATTGTTTGTTTTTTTTTTTGGGGGGGGGGGTTCTTAAGCAATTAGTAGTTTAGGGTTAAGAGAAAGCGCGAAGCTGCTGCGGTCCTCGTGACAAGTGAGGACACGAAGAGAGGGTCGCCGGTGTCGGTGGGTGGCTGCGAAGCGGAGGCAGCACATGTGAGCCCTAAATTGAAACCGAAACCCTACACCAGGCCTAAACCGTAAGCCCCTAAACCCTAAACCCTAAACCCTAAACCCTAAACCCAGAACACCAGACGTCTGCACCTGAGCGAGGCTGCCGGCGTCGTGAACCTCGGGGATTTCGAAGTCTGGTCAAAGAGCCTGGTGGCTTGCGGCAAGGACGGGGGCTGGGGCTTTGGGGGGCTTAGGGGTTTAGGGTTTAAGGGTAAGCCCTAAACCCTAAACCCTAAACCCTAAACCCTAAACCCTAACTCGGTTTAGGGTTTAGGCTTTAGGGTTTAGGGTTTAGGGTTTAGGGTTGCAGGAGCCATCGGGTCCTCAAGGGTTCTGATATAAGGGCCCTTGGGTTTCATAGGGTTACTAAACCCTGAACCCTCAACCCTCAACAATAAACCCTACACCCTAAATCCTAAACCCTAAACCCTAAACCCTAAAGCCTAAACCCCCGTCAAGGGCGCATACCAAGGGACCGTGAATGTAAAAAGGCAAGCTGAAGTCCTCGGGCTGCGCCTGGCAGTCCTGCATTTTAGGGTTTAGGGTTTAGGGTTTAGGGTTTAGGATGTAGGACCCTGCAGGCCGCAGTTCTTGCAGTACACACTCGCTCTTGCAATCGTACGGCTTCCCAAGCCTCAACATAGGATCCCAAGGGTCCCTCCGGGGGAATTCGGTGTTATGTTGGCTCTACTTGGAGGTTCATGGTACTGATTAGCCCATTATAAGTGTACTCAAAAAGGGTTTAGGGGTTAGGGTTGGGGGTTTAGGGTTTAGGATAACTGTACTTAGAACCATATTAGGGCACTTAAGGGGTTTATAAGTCGGTTATAAGTACAGTTATAATTGGCTAATATGTACCATGAACCTCCCAGTATGGGGTTTCGGGTTTGTAGCAATGCCCTCCGGGAAATAGGGTTTTGACATAAAGGCGGGAGGGA